GTTCTGGATTTACAGAAGCCAATCCTGGTTTCTGATTTGATTGTGGAATGTCCTGCTTTTCCTTAGAACATCCCTTTTGTCATTGGAGAAATGTTAGAGGCTATGGTAGGATATCCTTATTTTAATCAGAGAAATGTTGGAAGGTATGGAGTTATGTGACTGCCAAGCCAAGGAGATAAGCCATAATAACATACCCTCCAACATTTCTTTGATGAAAATAGAGGCATTAATTAATATTAATAATAATAATAATAATATTTATACCCCGAAAATCTGACTGGGTTGCCCAGCCACTCTGGGGAGCTTCCAACATATATAAAAACACAACAAAACATTAAACATTAAAAGACTTCCCTATACAGGGCTGCCTTCAGATGTCTTGTATAGTTGCTTAAGCTTTTGTGGGCCACTGTACCCTTCAGCAGATGCTGAAATGTTGCACCTTTACTGGAAGTTTTGGCCTGTGGTCACAAAAGGCTTACACCATGGGAAATGTGTTAAGTCTTTAAGGTGCCACAAGACTTCTTGTTTTGCTGCAAAAGACTGACACAGACACCACTCTTGGAGTTTCATCTGATTGTTGTTGTGGGATGGAAGCTTCTGTTCCCCCAGCTGCAGCCCATTCCTCCTATGTTGTAGGCTACACACACACTTTTCTAGAGCCTTCCCCTGAGTCTGGAATGGCATTTTAGGAAGAACAAGGAGTTCCTCCTAGTGATGGGCTGGGGCAGAGCAGCTGCCCACAGCACCAGCAATGACATCATCTGCCTAAGTGCCTAAAATCAACCTGCCTTGCTATGAGATGGGGATGGGACTTTCAAGCGTTAACTCCTGTTTGCAACAGATTAGCATGGAGAAAAGTCAGGGAATGTGAACATAATTAAGCAGAGGTTGGAAACTTTCCTTTGATGCTATTCCAACTTCGTAGCAGCAGTTTCAATGATAACACTGCGTTTCTGTCTGCATTTCTGATTAAAAGCTACAGGTTGCATTTCAGCTGACTGGAGATCCTTTGTTACAGCTCAGTGTGTTTTACAAACTCTAATCTATGCAGCTAGAAGCAAACACCATGGATTTGGGTGGTTCCCAGAACAACCGTGCACAGAGTGCTCAGCCAAATTTCAACATGCTAACTACTTTCTCACCCTTTTCCAGCTCACTGCTGCTGATCCTAATACAGTGGTACCTTGGGTTAAGAACTTAACTCATTCTGGAGGTCCGTTCTTAACCTGAAACTGTTCTTAACCACTTTAGCTAATGGGGCCTCCTGCTGCCGCCGGAGCACAATTTCAGTTCTCATCCTGAAGCAAAGTTCTTAACCCGAGGTACTATTTCTGGGTTAGTGGAGTTAGTAACTTGAAGCGTCTGTAACCTGAAGCATTTGTAACCTGAGGTACCACTGTAAACTGTGTAGTATTGTACCATGTATTGCTGCTGTTTTGCATCTATCTATCTATCATCTATCTATCTATCTATCTATCTATCTATCATCTATCATCTGGTTCAACACATCTGTGTGGATGTTTTGAACACCCCTTGGGAGTGTAGCAATAGGAATAGTCTCCTTCACTTTAAAATTTACCACAGCAGCATTGGTTGTAGTGTACCAAATATTCTCTAATGACTTGGATTTTAAAAAAAACCACCACCACATGCATAATAGTTTTACACAACACACTTTCCCCAGCAACCATCAGGGCAGAGAAACGCTATTGTGCATGTGTTGTTGTTTTATCAATGCAATTAGAGAATATTTTGTACAGGACTATGAAAAAGCCTTGCGTGGATGAGGTCAGCCCCTGTGGTGATCAGCCCCATCTGCTTCTTCAGCTCACCCCCAATGCTGCACCTCTGCTTCCATGACTTGTCGGTGACAGTTGTGAGAAGATCAGGCAAGAACAGAAAAAGGCGGGGATGCTGGTTCCCACAATGTTGTACCAAATAGAGGATCTGGAAAGAAGCTACTTTGAGATGAATCTGCACATTCCAAAACTATTCAGAGCATGTCTTTAAGAAAGGATGCCAGACTGACACTCTCTGGTGGCAATGGTGAACATTTCTCCTTTGTCTCGTGGCATCATGCCCCTTGAGATTTCAGAAGAAGGATGAAGCCTGCTTTCTGCTCTCACTCCAAAGCAACTTGCAGGCCAGCCCTCATTGGCTCATAGAATCTGGCACTTTCCTCATGTCAAGCCCCAAGATGCTTTTGTCACACACTGATTATACCTGGCACCCCTGTGCGACTCCATTTCTTCTGAGATTGAATGTACAGACTATTTCTATTCTGTGTCAGTTTCACATGTATTCATTGATAGAGTAGTCCTTCCTGTTTCCTTCTCTCTCTCTCTCTCTCTCTCTCTCTCTCTCTCTCTCTCTCTCTTGCTCTCTCTCTCGCTCTCTCTCTTAATTTTGCATGAAAATTCCAATTCAAATAGCATTTAAATTAGAGGCATGCACTGACCACAAAATCAACAGCTCACCTCAGTCTGAGGTGCTTCATAGGCCTGCCTGATTTGGCTCTTTGTTAACAAAACTTTTGCGGTCTCTGTTCGCTTTAAACCATACCTTGTTTAAGAGGCGACAGCACTCTGCCAAGAGGGAGTGTTCAGTGCTGTTTGGTGGAAGGCAGCCTGGGAAATATAAAACCTTTCAGCTGGTGGCAGTGAAAGGTTCATGGGAAGGGAGCAAGAACAGATGCGGGCACTCAGCTTGACCAGATCTCCCTTCCTATCATAGTACGTGGCCCAGGGTTGAGCTGGGGTGCCATGACATACTCAAATAAGCTCCCTGTGCAAATTAGAGCCCTAGGTCACATGCACACCATACATTTAAAGCACCATGGCACCCCTTTAAATAGCCATGGCTTCCCCCAAAGAATTCTGGGAGAAGTAGTTTGATAAGGTTGAGTTGGTAGGAGACCCTTATTCTCCTATTTGGTCCTTCTTCCCAGGGAACTCTGGGGACTGTAGCTCTGGAAACAGGGGTATTGTTATGTATTAAGCTTGGATCCTAGAACAATAGGCAAGTCGAAGCTACCAGCATGAGTTTGACCAAACTGCGGGAGGCAGTGGAAGACAGAGGTGCCTGGCGTGCTCTGGTCCATGGGGTCACGAAGAGTCAGACACGACTAAACGACTAAACAACAACAAGGATCCTGGAATGCAACAACTGATTGGCTTGCAGGAAAAGACCAATCAGGCTCCAGGAGGAAGTTAATCAGCCTATTAGGCTGGTAGGATCATGGAATGCAACAACTGATTGGCCTGCAGGAAAAGACGAATCAGGCTCCAGCGGGGAAGCAGAATCAGCCAATCAGACAGGACTCATTGTGTAAATAATGTATATAAAAGCCTGGGGTTTGGGGGGGGGGGCAATTCAATCACTGTTTTACAAGCTGCAGTAAAGAGCATGAAATCACTACAGGACTCCTGAGTGTATTTCAGGTCTCCTGACAATTCTCTGCAACCTACAGCTCCCAGAATTCTTTGGGGCAAGTTGTGGCTGTTTAAAGTGCTGTCATAGTGCTTTCAGCGTATGGTGCTAATGTGGCTCTTATAGTGTTCTTAATCAAGCACACTCAAATAGAGCAGACTCTCTGCTGCATGCATTCAGCCCCTCACACCTGGTGAGAGGGGCTAAAAGGCTCATCTTAAGGGAAACGGCTTGGTAGCCTGGCCACCAGATCTATGTAAAGTGGCAAGAGGATTGCAGACAGGTGGCCAAAAGCATTTCTGACTGCATTCATTTCTTGCATCTTCTGTAATTTCTCAACTCCTGAGGGAGAAGGAAATGTTCAGTATGTTACCGCAACATTAGCATAGCCAGAGGAGCTGCTGGCAAAGCTTTAACCCTGAGGTCCTGTTTTGACACCTTTCATATAGCAACTTATGAAAATGGGGCCGTAAAACTTAGAAGGAGTGATGAAACTTTTCTAACTGTTCTTCCTGTGAAAGCCGTACAAAACTTTATTCTTTCTCCCTTCCTCCCACTCTCTACAACTAACACACCTCCAGTCTTTCTAGTACAAGTTCAAAAGTGTAGAAATTTTGCATATCTTAAATATTTCAATCTAAAGCCAATCAGTCTCTCTGAGCAGTCTTGGTATGTGGCAGCTGAGCACAGACCAGAGTTAAAGGTAAAGGGACCCCTGACCATTAGGTCCAGTCGTGGCCAACTCTGGGGTTGCGGCGCTCATCTCGCTTTATTGGCCGAGGGAGTCAGAGTACAGCTTCCGGGTCATGTGGCCAGCATGACTAAGCCGCTTCTGGCGAACCAGAGCAGCGCATGGAAACACCATTTACCTTCCTGCTGGAGCGGTACCTATTTATCTACTTGCACTTTGACGTGCTTTCGAACTGCTAGGTTGGCAGGAGCAGGGACCGAGCAACGGGAGCTCACCCCGTCGTGGGGATTCGAACCGCCAACCTTTTGATCGGCAAGCCCTAGGCTCTGTGGTTTAACCCACAGTGCCACCCGCGTCCCTGGACCAGAGTTAGGTGCACCTAAAATCTGATCTGCTGTAGTATGGAGTCACTGGAGCAAATGTATATCTTAGTCTTTCCCTACTTAGACGAAGTCTTTAGCTTATCAGTCACTCGGAGGCTCAAAGGTCTTGCTTATCACTGGTTATGTTGTTAGTTATTATGAGAACGCTGCATTTCCTCACTTTAATTTAAACACCAGAGCTGTGGAATCTGTAGAACCAATAAGTGCAAACTTGTCGTCCTTGCTTTGTTATTGAAACCTCGGCTCAAGCAGCACAAACAACTCCAGTAATCCTATTGTAGGTGGTTGAATGCTTCCTAGCGTGAAGTTTTGCCTTTACTCTAGAAGCCGAACCTGTTTCCTAGTGATCAAAGGAGAGCTGGTCTCTCTGGGTCTGTGTGAGTCATACTGTGTAACAGCAGACTAACTTTGTTGCTGTCAGCTGACTTGCCTCTGTTAAAACTCACTGAGACTAGTCAATGGGAATCAGTCTTGACTGAAGTAGATAGTAAAAGATGGGAATCAAATTACTGTGCCTTCTCATTGCTACAGTTTTGACTGCCTATTACATATACAGCCCCTTACCAGAGAATGTTGAGGACCGCTGGAAGCTGATGCTCATTGGTGCTGTCTTTAGAACTTTAGACCATGTGGTAAGCTGAGACGTTTCTTTATTCCAGGCGTCTTGTGCATGTGAGATTGCTTGAATGCAAAAAGGTGGTGTGGCGGGGGGGGGGGGAAGCTTACTGAAAAATGTTGGGATTGTGCAAAATGAGAACTAACAGCTATTAATTGCATTATTTGGCTGGTGGTGGGGGCATCATGAAACAGAATTCATTTGTCTCTTTTTCTTTGACTCTCTGGACAGAAATGTCCTATATATGAAAATGAATACAAATAGAAGGGAAGCTTACCTGTTAGCTTTTAAAACCATTTAACAGCTTTACAAGGCAGTGCATCCTGTTTTCTCTGTTATTCTCTAGCTGCTGTAGAAATCTGAGCACCCCACTTTTTAGTCAGAAGCAGTGCAAAGCTCCCTTTGATAACGGATATAATTACGCCTCACATTTCATACACACTCTTTAGTCTGCACGGCTGTTGCTATAAATAACCAGTTTTAATGCTAGAAGCAATCAATCAAGGGGAAAGCTCTTAGAATTTTCCTCGCCACTGATGTAATTTCTAATTGAAATCTGGTGTAAGGGAGAGGGGAACATCCCTGCTAATATATCTACCATGCCAGACACTGTTAATGATCTCCGAGTGAATTGTGGCTACTGCAGCAATTGAGCATAGACTGAAATTACTTTTATTTTAGGTATCTGTTTTGCTGTACTGCATACATGCATGACTTTCACCAGCTTGCCTGCTTATGTATTTACCTATAGCATCACCTAGGAGCTGCAGGGTGGATTGCATAAAAAGAGAGATACGCATAAAATTACAGAACTTGTTACAATTATTTCCCATTTCTGGGTAGCAAGTGGTTGTGGGTTCAAGCTCCACACTGGGCAAAAAAACCCTGCATTACAGGGAGTTGGAATAGATTACCTTTGTGGTCTCTTCCAATTCTGCAATTCTCAGATTCTATTAAGTTGCTGGACATTTTTGTCCCTAAGTGTAAAAATCTGTTTGCATATGCAGAAAGAGGACCCAATGGGTGGTAGTCACTAAATTTTACTTTGAATAGACCCACTGAAATTAATTGACTGAATGTAGACATTGTCTTTAATTTCAGTGAGTCTGCTTTTAAGTAAAAGCTAAGCCGACTAGTACGCAAGAGCTGCATTTATTCACCAACTATAAGGCATCAGATACATATGGGAATCTGACCAGCCAACACTGTGATCACACCTCAGGGTTTGTGTGTTTTATTGCTGGCATGCTGCTAAAAGAGTAGCTTTCTGAGCGCTTGCTGAGGTGTGCAGAATTTAGGGGTGTGGCATCGGTTTTCATGTCACTCCCTGGGTGTTTGAATTGCCTGGTGGTGGAAAGGTCACAAAAGCGCGGCCTTAGAAAGGAGGAAAATAAAGGAAAACAAACAGAAGAGAGCAACAAGAAGAAAAGTGTCACGCAAAGCAGGGGGGGGGCATACAGCAGATGCCTGAATCTGATAGTTGGGAGGGTGTGTGGCAAGGCAAACAGGAGCAGTATGACTAACACGGGAGAAGTAGGTAGGCTTGCTGAATTCTGCATGGAATCAGAGAGTCCCTGCATTACAGGGAGCATATTGGTATGTGATTTCCCCATCACTTTGATGGAAGAAGCAGCATGGGCTAGAATTCCCCATTCCACATGAGAGCCATTTCTGGTAATAAAAAAAAAGCATGAACAAAAGATGATGCCGTTCCAGTAGGGCCCAAGACTTTTATTATTTTACCCTGGGAGAGCTTTGATGAGTTCAGCTTCTCCCAACAGAGCCAGTGTGGTGTAGTGGTTAAGAGCAGTAGACTCGTAATCTGGTGAACCAGGTTCGCGTCTCCGCTCCTCCACATGCAGCTGTTGGGTGACCTTGGGCTAGACACACTTCTTTGAAGTCTCTCAGCCCCACTCACCTCACAGAGTGTTTGTTGTGGGGGAGGAAGGGAAAGGAGAATGTTAGCCGTTTTGAGACTCCTTCAGGTAGTGATAAAGCGGAATATCAAATCCAAACTCTTCTTCTATCACGGCTCTGCATCCTAAAAGGCTTTATCTATGTGGTGCCTGTTAAATTATGGCTTCATGCCAGTGTTGTTTAGATCACAGGTCCTAGTCTGACACTTTAACCACTGCCCCATTGGCTGTCTAGTGCTAATAGCAAACTCTGTTCTCCAAAATGGCACCATCTGCACAGAAGCGGGGAGGGATCAGCAGGCTGAGCAGGGAGAGCCCTGACATACGAGAAAATCTCTAAAGGGTTGGGAATTCCTTCCCTTCCAAAAGAGCCACTTTGATGAAGGCTAAGCACACTTCATGGCCATTGATTGCTGGGAGTAGGGAAGGAAAAACTAGGGAGAACAGAATGAAGTATCCTGCAAGGGGGAATGGCAGGCTGGCTGGCTTCATGAACAGGAGTGCTCCACACTGCAACATTGCATTGCAAGTCCCAGTGTGGTGTAGTGGTTAAGAGCAGTAGACTAGTAATCTGGTGAACCAGGTTCGCGTCTCCGCTCCTCCACATGCAGCTGCTGGGTGACCTTGGGCCAGTCACACTTCTCTGAAGTCTCTCAGCCCCACTCACCTCACAGAGTGTTTGTTGTGAGGGAGGAAGTTAAAGGAGATTGTTAGCTGCTTTGAGACTCCTTCGGGTAGTGATAAAGCGGGATATCAAATCCAAACTCTTCTTCTTCTCTTCTTCTGGTAACAACCTGTAAGAGAAAACACAACTTGTGTTTTCTTTGCTCATAGCAAACCCCTCCAACAAGCGCTGAGTTACCATATCTTTTTTGTTGATGTTGCTCCTCTGCCTGGAATAGCAGCCTAACAGTCAGATATTAAGCTTTCTCCCTTCACTTCTCGTTTTCTCTTCCGGGCTTCTTTTTAAAGCCACAGGAGGAAGGTGAGAAAAACAAAATAGACAGACGCTCATAACAAATCTGAAGCGCTAAACCTTGTCCCAGTTACATTTTATATATGTAGATAGTGATCTACATACAACGTGAGATTTCTCGTCCTGCTTGTTCTTCTGATATCATGTGTGTGGGACAACACAATATAAATGGATTGAAAGCTTGATCCTGGATAAACTTTAGTTGTTATACTGCTGGGGTTTTCTGGCAATGTGTGGTGTTGCTACATAATGGGAGGGGCTATGGCTCAGAGGTAGAGCATGCCAAAGGTCTCTGTCTTAACCTCTGGCATCTCCAGGTAGGGCAGGGGGAAATCCTGTGGAGCCACTGCCAGTTAGTGTCTGCAGTATTGAGCTAGATTGACCAATTCTCTGACTTGGTATAAGGCAGTTTCTTATGTTCCTGTGCCAGATGCCTTGAGCTTCATCCATGCCTTCTTCTGTATATGGTAAATGTATGGAGAGGTAGAGAGGTGAACTATGCCGCTGGTCCACCCCCACAAATCATGCACTACTAACCTTGCCCCCTTGATACCCACATGTTCAGTGCAATGTCTGCAAAAGGGTGCCCATGAACAGCTGAATGTAGGTAAAGGTAAAGGTAAAGGTAAAGGGACCCCTGACCATTAGGTCCAGTCGTGGCCAACTCTGGGGTTGCGGCGCTCATCTCACTTTATTAGCCGAGGGAGCCGGCGTACAGCTTCCGGGTCATGTGGCCAGCATGACTAAGCTGCTTCTGGCAAACCAGAGCAGTGCACGGAAATGCCGTTTACCTTCCTGCCGGAGCAGTACCTATTTATCTACTTGCACTTTGATGTGCTTTCGAACTGCTAGGTTGGCAGGAGCAGGGACCGAGCAATGGGAGCTCACCCCATTGCGGGGTTTTGAACCGCCGACCTTCTGATCGGCAAGCCCTAGGCTCTGTGGTTTAACCCACAGCACCACCCGCATCCCAGGATGTATGTAGGCACCCTATATATCAGGATTTCTGATCACACAGGGGTCCTTGTTGTGGGTTCAGCTGCTCATATGTGAATATGCCTTTGAAGATAATACTCTTATTACTATTTTGGTGCTAGGCAAAAACATTCCTCCTAACCCAGGCCTTTGGAGTATTGAAGAATCTATGGCCTTCAAAATGTTTCTTGGGCTGTGGGTGGGTGGAGGGTTATTGTGTTGGCTTTTTGTGTGTTATGTATTTTGTGCTTTTGTACTGTAAACCGTCCTGAGATCTGCAGATGAAGGGCAGTATATAAATAAATATTAATACAATATTTATTAATGAAAGTATTTAATCATCACCATCAACACCTAGAATAAAAGAAACCTGCATATGTACAGTACCATTAGCGGGAGAAATCCATGCATGGGTGCAAGCCCTCCCCATTTTAGGAATTAGGCTGAAGGGAAGCAAACTGCCCAGGGCCTTGGCCAGGAAATTGTACTTGGAGAAAATGCACCCTCACATAATGCACATTATCAAAGCCCAGTTCCAACCTCTAAAGTATATTTTAAACTGAGAGCTCGGCTGCCAACCCTAAAGGATCATGGGGCACATTGGATGTATGTGTAGCTATTTCTCTATCCACAATGCATTGATTTCGGCAAAATGTGCCCGGCTATGAATTTGAATGACAACCAAAACAGTGTAGGTGGCTGTGTGTCCAACTTTCCAGAGGTCAAGCCCTCTGTTTGATGGAGGAGTACAGTCCCAGACGTTTAGAAGGAGAGCAATGGGGAAGCACCTTGAAGTTGCCCATCAGCTGCTGGACAACACACTAATCTGGCACACAGGTCACTTAACCACAGTCTTCCTCACTATGGTGAGATAAATTATGGAAATCATTCCATTTTAAAAATTTATAAATTAGTACTTGTGCAAATGTTATGTAGACCCTTGTCCCCTTTTTGGTTTTGTGCAAATCTAATGCAGTACAGAAAGAACACCAGAAGCAAGTGGGAACATGGGAAGCTTCCATATACCAAGTCAGATCACTGATCCCATCTAGCTTGGTATGGCTTCTTGGATTAGCAGGGGCTCTCCTGGGATTTCAGGTAGGACTCCTTCCCTGTTCTACCTGGAGATGCTGGGACTTGAGCCTTGGAAGGACCACAGTGCAGTGGCAAAGCACCTGCCTTGCAAGCAAAAGGTCTCAAGCATCTGCAGGTACGACTGGAAATGTACCCTAACTGAAGTTCTGGAGAGCCTCTGAGCTAGATGGACCAAGGAGTCTGATTCAGTTTAAAGCAACTTTCTATGTTCTATGACAGTTTGCATGCAGTTCCTCCCCAACACTGCACTGTTTTCACAAGAATGTTTCATGCACCATGTCTAACACCAAGGATCATGCACTCCGGGCAGCATAATGTGCTGATATCAGGCAGTGTTGCCAGAGAGGGTGTGGGTCTAACTATAAATCTAACTATATATCTAACCATGGATTCTGGACTCAAATGATTTCTGGTCAGTTTGTCCAAATCTTGGGTTGCAAAACAGCTCTTTGTGCAAGCTTAAACAACATTCTAATTTTAGGTGCTGATTCTTCAGAATAAACGAGATTGGTTCATCCATGGACATTTCATCTGCTTAGCAGCAGATAGTTCTGGAAGATACGTTTAACACCACAAATGCTGGAGTAAAGTAAATTCAGGAATCATTCCTATGTTGAAATAGCATCTATATCAGCTATGCAGTTTCCTTCGGATACTATAACCGAGATTTATATGCTGCCTGCCATGGCATACTATGGTCATGGAATGTATTGCTTCCTCTGTAGGGGGAAAAAGCAAAATAAGGAGAGGACATTTGAGCAGACAAAGCACCAGAAGAGAAAGGATTAAGCAGCCTCTCCCTTTCCCTGTTCTTTTTCACAGAAGCAACCTGCCCTAGGCTGCTCTAGGTTTAAAAGAAAGAGAAGGATTAAGAAAACTCTTCTTAATCCTGTCATTTCAGCCAAAGTTTGCTAAAGAATTAAGAGGTTTTTAATGAACTTCAACAGCCCTTTTCTGGTGTTACCCTTTCGTGCAATTGACATTGTTTCAGAGGGAGCACAGGGCTGCATCCTCTGGCCCCAGCAGCTCCCCACCCCATTCACAAACACAGGTGTGGGGTGGGAATGTCTGAAGAGATGAACCTTGTCTACACAGGTAGACTGTGATGTAGAACCCCTTGCCGACCTAGCAGTTCAAAAGCATGCCAGTGCAAGTAGATAAAAAGGCACCGCTGCGGTGGGAAGGTAAACAGTGTTTCCGTGCGCTCTGGTTTCCGTCACAGTGTTCTGTTGCGCCGGAAACGGTATAGTCATGCTGGCCATATGACCCGGAAAGCTGTCTGTGGACAAACGCCGGCTCCCTTGGCCCGAAGTGAGATGAGGGCCACAGCCCCATAGTCGCCTTTGACTGGACTTAACCGTCCAGGGGTCCTTTACCTTTTTCACCTTTTACCTAGAACGTGGCATGATCAGGGTTCCATAGCCTGAGTCACAGTGTTCCCCCTCTTTAGTGTAGATGGTGGAGGGGCAGAGACCACAGGGGCTTGTCGCTGGCTAAACCCTGAATAACACTAAATTTTCGTTTGAATATACACTGGAACAAACATTTTGTATTAGTTCCATGATACAGAGTTATGGTATTATGTTACTGAGCTATCAAGCAGGTTTTAAAGAGTCTCTGAATCCCACTTCCTTATTGTTGCAATTTTGTGACACATTAGTAGTAGTAGTAATGATTTTATTCGTTGTTTTTCAAACAACATGTAGTAGCATGACTTGGGGTGGCTATGACTAGGTGGAGAGGGTGGTGGTGGTGATGATGTTGTTTTACAAAGGCAGCCCTTAGTACAGTGGTACCTCAGGTTAAGTACTTAATTCGTTCTGGAGGTCTGTTCTTAACCTGAAACTGTTCTTAAATTGAGGTATCACTTTAGCTAATGGGGCCTCCCGCTGCCGCCGCGCAATTTCTGTTCTCATCCTGAAGAAAAAGTTCTTAACCTGAAGCACTATTTCTGGGTTAGCGGAGTCTGTAACCTGAATCATATGTAACCTGAGGTACCACTGTATACCGCTCCAGAAAACTTAAGAGAAGCGTGGAGTCTGAAAATAACTGTATTCTGATCTGTGCTTTAGTCTGGGAACATGCACAGATACGACCCACGCAGCACCTCTGCTTGGCTCCACTGCATGTCTCCTTAACAGTTATTGCCTCCTGCTGTTGCTTGTTTATGCTGCTATGACTTCCTCCTCACATCTGGCCTCTCCTGCAGACTGTGAATTAAGGATGCCAGTGATTGATTACCTGCCTGGAGGTCAGCCTTTCCAGGTGGGCTACCTTCACTTCCTGTGGAAGGAAACAAGAACAGGTCGCTGACATTTCTCAACCTGCATGTGGTTTGGAGTAGTCCGGCTGTTGCTGGGTGGGGGCCATTGTTTGTTGTGGGTTTCGGGATCACATAGTGGTGGTATAATGAAATCATAAGAGCGTGGTCAGACCTCCTCTTGCCTTTAGCAAAACTTGAAATGTAAAATATAAAACTTAGCAAGAAACCTAAAGTTGTTGACACGGGTCTCGTTTGCACTGTACATAATTACTTGAGAAGAACAAATACTTAGCCAACAGGGATTGCATATAATCACTGGAAACAATCCAGCATCATTAGGCAACCAATAGCAATACAGTAGTACCTCGGGTTACATACGCTTCAGGTTACATACGCTTCAGGTTACACACTCTGCTAACCCAGAAATAGTGCTTCAGGTTAAGAACTTTGCTTCAGGTTGAGAACAGAAATCATGCTCCGGCGGCACGGCGGCAGCAGGAGGCCCCATTAGCTAAAGTGGTGCATCAGGTTAAGAACAGTTTCAGGTTAAGTACAGACCTCAGGAACGATTTAAGTACTTAACCCGAGGTACCACTATAAATCATTGTCAGATGTGAGTGAAGTAAGTAAGTGAGTGGACTAATTAATGTAATGAAAAGGCTGTGTCACTGCTTGATGGTATCACATATGCAAATATATTTTGTTGCAAAAGACTTGTCATACAAATGGTTTGGGAGTGTTGGAGTGTTAATCCTCTCTTTCCCTCGAGGAGATGTATGTAAATAAGAGACTTATGGTGCAATCCTATATGTGCCAACCCAGAAATAAGCCCTGTTGAATTCAGTGTTCACCTAGGCAATTGCAGCCACAGCCTCTTTTCTACTAGGGCCACATTCACACGATATATTTAAAGTGCTATGGTACCGCTTTAAACAGCCATAGCTTTCCCTACCCACAATTCTGGAAAATGAGGTTTGTTAAGGGTGCTGAGAGTTGTTAGGAGACCCCGGTTCACCACACAGAGTTAAAATTCTCAGGGTGGCTTAACAATCAATCCTTCTTCCCAGGGAATTCTGGGAATTGTGGCTCTGTGAGGGGAATTTGCGTTTTCAAATGTTCCACTGAACCAGTAGTGCCTACGCATGACCAAAGTTGGAATTGAATAGGGGCGCTAACCCAAACTGGTTCTCAAGAGTTATCTTCAGAATCTTAGGTGCCTTGTAATGTTAAGAATTAGTGTAACTATCAACACTGACTGGCTTTTTTTCTTTTTGACATTTTGTTTACATGAGGCATTTGTACAAACCAAGTCATGCAGCGGAACACATGACTATGGGAAGAGAGGGGTTCAGAGGTGTGCAGAACCTTTGGCTGATTGTTTGGACAATCCTTTACAGGCCCATATCTGTATCTGAAATAAAAATCTGTTGGTTTATAGATCTTAAGAGCCTTAACTGGAATATCTAGCTCAAGCCGGCTGAGCCGCATAACTGATTGGTGAGGGTGCGGTCATCTCTTTCAGAAGAATACAGTTAGTGCATTTTCTGCAGTATGTGTGCGAAGGGGCAGTTTAGTCTTTATGTGTGCTGTAGAAACAGATTGTAAAAGGGGCGGTTTTCATGTTCCTCACCTATTTCACCTCTTGCACAGTGTTATATTGCCTTCTGTGGGTTTTGATATCCTCGTTTCTTTCTGTTTGTTTTCTGTGAATTGTATTCTGTCCATAATTTCTCCTTGACCCAAATCCAAGGACAGTACCAGACTTCACTGAGGCCTTGTTATGATGCCACCAGTGGCTTCCAACTTCTGCAACATACTCGCCTCAACACACAACGCCGTGGCCCCTGCCGCTGCCATGATAGTAGCAGCCACTTCACTTGCGACCCTGCTTGCTGTGTCTCTGGGAAGTGTTTGGGAACTGGGCAAGTAGCAGGTCACTTTTGAATGGCAGCCAAATTTTACTCCCCTCCATAGAGGCCACCTGCCATTTTAATTGATTTAATACACTATGCCATGAACCACAGATCTGTGAAATTTCATAGGTCTATGGCAGGGGTCTAGGGACGTGGGTGGCGCTGTGGGTTAAACCACAGAGCCTAGGACTTGCCGATCAGAAGGTCGGCGGTTCGAATCCCCGTGATGGGGTGAGCTCCCATTGCTCGGTCCCTGCTCCTGCCAACCTAGCAGTTCGAAAGCGCGTCAAAGTGCAAGTAGATAAATAGGTATCGCTCCGGTGGGAAGGTAAACGACGTTTCTGTGCGCTGCTCTGGTTCGCCAGAAGTGGCTTAGTCATGCTGGCCACATGACCTGGAAGCTGTACGCCGGCTCCCTTGGCCAATAAAGCAAGATGAGCGCCACAACCCCAGAGTCGGTCACGACTGGACATAATGGTCAGGGGTCCCTTTACCTTTACCTATGGCAGGGGTCAGCAAACTTTTTCAGCAGGGGCTGGTCCACTGTCCCTCAGACCTTGTGGGTGGGCTGGACTATATTTTGAAGAAAAAATATGAATGAATTCCTATGCCCCACAAATAACCCAGAGATGCATTTTAAATAAAAGGAAACATTCTACTCATGTAAAAACACGGTGATTCCCGGACTGTCTGTGGGCCGGATTTAGAAGGCGATTGGGCCAGATCCAGCCCCCGGGCCTTAGTTTGCCTACCCATGGTCTATGGAGTGAGTAAATGAAAATGGAAACCGTGCTTGGCTCCCATGCAATAATGGCATCACCATCCAGACATCACTTAACTTCTGGACAGAACCCATGAAAAACCATTTAATTGCTTTTCTTTTTGTATGCACATTACTTTCCATCACATATAAAAGCAGCTTCAGATTCTAAAAAAAGCATGTCCAAACTGCTGGGTGTAGTGAAGGGTTAACCTTCTGTGTCTCGAGGCTGAGAGGAGGCGCTTACAAGGGAAGTAAGCGCCTCCTCTCAGCCTCGAGACACAGAAGGTTAACCCTTCACTACACCCAGTCTGATGGTGTTTCTGAATTGTAAATATGCTACTTTTGAGCAAATAAAGTGCTATTAGGAAGGAAGAAACGTGTGGGACTTCTTTTACTGCCTTTTCTACACGGACGCTGTGCAATTCTGCTAATTGCTTTACGACCTGCAGAGGAGTGCAGGGGAGCGTGCCGGACGCCAAGAATAAAGCAATAAATCTACTTAACACAAACCCACCCAGATTCTCTAGTTTGGGATATTCAAAAGGGGGAGGGAAGCCTTAAAAATAATAGGCTATCACACTGAAGGTCTCAATGGTTAATCTGGACAGTTCTGGTCTTATGTGGTCATATCTACTCAGTGTAGACCCATGAAAATTAATAACCATGTCACGCACATTTGTTTGCATGGGTCTGCTCTTGAGTATGGCTATCATTGCATACAACCACTGATTTTGGCACTGGCAGGCCTGTTGGAGCTCAGCTGAATTTGGAATCTCTCCTGAGAAGCCAGAAACATAAATATAGCACACACAGAAAAGAGAAACACTCTAACAAAAGCTAGAAGCACATCTAATTTATTTCTCTCCAAGAGCATGACAGTTTGCATGAACCACTTGATGACCCATAACTGTGTTTCGTTCTTTTCTTTACCTCCCCCTGTCTCCGCTAGGAAGTAAAAATAGTTAAATGTCAGGTGGAGAGCGTGAGATTTATGGTGGGAATGTGGCTGTGAGGAAAGTGTTTGTCCCCCTCTCCAGCATTTAGCTATCATGGAAGCTAACCAAAATCTGTGTTCACAGTAGTGTGAGCAAGGCAGTGCGTGGGATGGCATCTCACACACCTTGGGGTATCCTCACTGTAAGTGCAATGTTACAGGCAATTCCATCTGACCCAGGCAAGCAATACTTCACCTTAGCAGAACAACCCCACTTACACACACACACACAAACACCAGATTTTTTGCAGTTTGGAAAGTGACAGGGAAATGCATTGAAATGTGTGGGATGAACTACTGAATGCAACATGAATGCATACAGTCATATAAAGGTAAAGGTAAAGGGACCCCTGACCATTAGGTCCAGTCGTGGCCGACTCTGGGGTTGTGGTGCTCATCTCGCTTTACTGGCTGAGGGAGCCGGCGTACAGCTTCCGGGTCATGTGGCCAGAATGACTAAGCCACTTCTGGCGAACCAGAGCAGTGCACAGAAACGTCGTTTACCTTCCTGCTGGAGCGGTACCTATTTATCTACTTGCACTTTGACGTGCTTTCGAACTGCTAGGTTGGCAGGAGCAGGGACCGAGCAATGGGAGCTCACCCCATCGTGGGGATTCGAACCACCAACCTTCTGACTGGCACGTCCTAGGCTCTGTGGTTTAACCCACAGCGCTACAATCATATAGCCACCCTGTAAACAAATAAGAACTGTTATGTAAAGACCAGCCTTCGTCCAACCATTGCATTAACTTTGTGCAAGGAAATTAAGATAAATACAAAATAAACAGGTCAGCTGGTAGAACCTTGAGTTTTGCATTTGGCTGGAAGAAAGAAGGAAAGGAGCGGCAGGGGGAGCTACAAGTGGATATTGCTTGCTTTGGGGAAACTGTTGTTGCTTTGTAGATGAACACAATATACTTGGGTGCCTAGTCCCTCCTTTATATTGAACATGCGTATTTAGAAACAGACATCATAAAGTCTCCAGTGTTCTTTCTAATGCAAAATGCTACTTCTGCTTTGCAATCCCTGGAACTTCTTAATGCTCCAGGATGTGCATACCATTCCAAATGATTAACGATGATGTTAATATGCATGCCCAACTTTTAGGCTATTTTTGATATGAAGGAGAAAGGAAAGAGGCACTGATGAATGTAGTCTTTTATGTGGCTTGAGAGTTGCGTAATACACTGGCATTAATATACCTCTTGTTTTCCAGGGTTCAGTTGCCAACAAGCTGGGTCTCGCGCACCACATGGATGTTATGATGAGCCTCACAAGTTTTGAACATACACCGCCAACATCGGATGAAAAGGTCACTGTGACTGACACAGAATTTAATGGTGTCCCAGTCCGTTTGTATATCCCAAAAGGGCAGCCCGATTCCTTGAAAAGGGCTATGATTTATATTCACGGGGGTGGATGGTGTCTAGGATCGGCAGGTAAGCATGTGTGCTTGTTTCTGCTAATGTGGGTCTTGAGTTGAAAGTTGCAATGTCTTTGAGACAGGTGTCATGATACAACATAGCATGGTGGCTGCTACTTGACAATGTGCTTCCGGCGAGCGTCTCCTCTGCTCAAACAATATACCTGCAGAGAATGTATTCCACTATCTAATTCTCTGCAGGTCTGAGAGAAGCAATTAACTTGTAGATTGTATCTAGCAGGTAAACGACATGAACTTTTTGGAACGTGATGAAAGAACTGAAATAATCTGATTGCATCCATTGGTTATGCAAGCAGAAGGTAGCTGTCAGGCTTCTGGGAATCCAGTCCTTCCTCCCCACGGCAGGCTGCCAGTAACCAACAGACAAGAAGCTCTTACCAATGTATTTTATTCAATGTTCACAGAGAGAGGCTTAGAATGTCGCCTCTCGGGGTAATGGCGTTGCTCCAAGTAATCTCCTCCCCCGCTTCTCTCTCAGTTGTCTACAGCACCACCGCCCCTTATGGGGGCTGCTTAAGGCCATTTGGCTTTTAGCTTTCTGCTCTGTCACTTTCACTGCTCGCCGGGTTCTGGGAAAGGGGGGGGGGTGTCTGGAATGCTTTCTAGTGATAATGTGTCAGTCAGCTGTTCCGGCTCTGCTTCTCATCCCTCCTCCTCTTCCATTATCTCTCAGCTTTGCCCCTCTTTTGTCTCAGAGCCATGACCTTCTGCAAACCCCTGTTGTAAATCTATACCATGGGTAGGCAAACTAAGGCCGGGGGGCCGGATCTGGCCCAATTGCCTTCTAAATCCAGCCTGCGGATGGTCCAGGAATCAGCGTGTTTTGACATGAGTAGAATGTGTCCTTTCAATTAAAATGCACCTCTGGGTTATTTGTGGGGCCTGCCTGGTGTTTTTACATGAGTAGAATGTGTGCTTTTATTTAAAACGCATCTCTGGGTTCTTTATTGGGAATAGGAATTCGTTTATATATTTTTTTCCAAAATATAGTCTGGCCCCCCACAAGGTCTGAGGGACACTAGACCGGCCCCCTGCTGAAAAAGTTTGCTGACCCCTGATCTATACTGTCTTCCTCTTCTCTGGGAGGTGCTGGAGGAGGAGGGGGGGCTCTCCACTATTCCTCCTAACCCTGACAGCAGCCGGACAAATGTATGGAGGATGTACCAGTTGCATGAAGCCACAGGAAGGGAGTGTGTGGTCTTGTGCTCAGGTCCTGCATGCTGGCTTTCCCCTGTCATCTACCCAGCCACTGTGAGAACAGGTTGCTGGACTAGATGGGCCATTGGTATGATATAGCAACCAATTTTTTCCCTCTTCCTCCTCCTCCTCCTTCCTCTAGCAACCTCTTATAATGTGCTAGATCAAACCATATCCAGGGGTTCAGCCCCTGAACTCTGGAAGTAGTGTCATTCAGGGCTTCAGTGGGGATGGGGAGAGAATCACCCATACTGGGTGGATGGACCCTGCACCAGCAGAGCATATGTGGGCCCTAGTATTGCATTTTTAGTACACCATTAACATTGATATTCTGGTTAGTCTGCTGCATATTTTGGTTTAACTCTTGCTCCCCCCCCCAAAAAAAAAATCAAATCTAATTTGTATAAATGAATGGCTTGCTATTTTGTAAGTTATTCTTTATGAAAAATAAAATAAAATTCTCAAAGTGCAAATGATGCCTCTTAGGGAATATAAAGCTGCAAAGGACATATTATATCCAAGGTGTGAGACATGAAAACTAAGATCCCATCTAGGACACCTTCTTGGACTGCAGCCAAGTCACTTGTGAATGGTTTGTTGAGTTCCTGTCTTTAGATAAAACGGTGTGCACAGGAGTTTATTCCATTGCCAAGTGCTGAATTGCAGGGATTCACAGAAAGTGCACAAAAAGCTACTGCCAAAAGAAACAGGGAACTGTGTGTCTATTTGTTTCAGAAGAGCAATAAAATATTCTTTATTACTTACTTTGTTGCAGCCATGCAACCCTATGACCTCCTGTCGAGACGGACTTCAGAAACACTAAATGCTGTCGTCGTATCAGTCGAGTAAGGAATGGTGCTTCAGAGTGTTTATTGTGAATAACACCTGATCCTTTGCAAATAGAAAACTAAGCTTAATTGCTGTAATCTAACCCGTGCACTGAGCATACTAAAGCCCACTGATTATTTATTTAATAAGTGTTATATGTTGCTTGATGGTTAAAACCCCAGGCAACTTCAAAGCTGTTTACAGTGAGCTTCAGCACAATGCAACTTGGGTTTGGACTTTGTAGCATGCAGGGAACGAAGTCCTACAGTTAAAGGTAATTGCATATCAATCACATAACATGGGAGTAATGCATAGGCACCAGTCCCATCGACACGATTGAAGTGAGTTTCCCAGCATGCAGCAGTCAAGAGAGGAGGGAAGAAGGACATAGCTTTGCTAACTTTTCTCAGCTGGAGGCAGAAGATTGTTGGCATCTGTCTGTCTGAAGAGGCAATGAAAGAATGTGCCATCAGGTCAATCCAAACCATTGGAGAGTTACAGTGCCTGCTGTGACTACAGAGACCGATAGGGGAGAGACATGTTTTATTGCAGCTGGGACAGATGAAGGCATCCAGTTTCACTGGTGCAGATGCACCATGGTGTAATGGATGGACGGAGTGTGGTAATGGGTGGATGGTTGCAGTGTGGGCTAGCTCTCAATTAAAAATTGAAAAATGCAGGTCTTCAGGGCTTTCCCAAAACCCTGCAGGTCCAAAGGAAGGGAATTCTGAAGTGGGGGAACCAATGCAGAGAAGGCCTTCTAAACTAGGGTTAGGCAATGTAGTTCACTCCATTATGTTGTTGGACTCTAGCTTTAGGGAAGCTTTTAATGTTTAATAGGTTATTGTATTTTAGTGTTTTGTTGGAAGCCGCCCAGAGTGGCTGGGGAAACCCAGCCAGATGGGCGGGGTATAAATAATAAATTATTATTATTATTATTATTATTATTATTATTATTATTCCATCAGCCCCCGACAGCATGGCCAACACTCAGGGGTGATAGGAGTTGGATGTTATGTGTGAACCATGCCATACAGCAAAATGTGGGACTCTTCAAGGTCAACTTGAAACCCAGTGTTTCTATCTGCCAGATCAGTTCTTAAACTGCATTGAGTTTGTAAAATATTTGTAATTAAGTGAGAGAGAGAAAGAAAGGGGGAGTTAGTTTGCCTGGCGAAGGGTAAGTTGGTGGGGTGTAATCAGTGGTACAAGTCTGCAAGTGACTGCTCCAAACTGTATGTTGAAGCAAGTCAATTTAATTGAATGGGGGAGGGGAAGACACCTAGCATCTATGTCACAAATTAGATTTGCTTTCCTTTCAAAACCAATTCTTCTTTTTGAAAACTCTCTCACAAAGGTACAGGCTGGCACCAAAACACCACTTCCCAGCTCAGTTTGAAGATGTGTACACAGTGGCGAAGTACTTCCTGCAAAGCAGTGTCCTTGAGCAATACAACGTAGACGCAAGCAGGGTATGCGTTGCAGGAGACAGCGCAGGAGGGAACTTAGCAGCAGCAGTGGCACAGCAGGTGAGTCATAACGTATTGGAAAGTCGGGCATTCGAAAGGAGCCGCTTTCGTCTTTGTCATGCATCTGAACCCCTGCTCTCCAAAGCCATTCTGTAACCTGCTACCTTGGGGAAACAACCAGGGCTGACACCATCATCCGGTACCCTTAGGTAACTGGGCTCCTCCAACAGGAGCTTATCCTAGGCACCCCACACTCGGTGACTGGGTATGGGAAGCCACCTTTCTAAATTTCCCGTGGTGCCCTGGAGCAACATGACACCAGATGCTCTGGGCAGAGGTGGAGGAGCTTCATCACAGGCAACCTTTTGGCGGCGCATGGTGTGCAGGGCCAAAGACAAAGGTGGACCAAGCAATGGCTGCAAGTCTTACCTTTGTTTAGCATGCTAAACCAGGGCTAGGGCCTTTTTCGTGATGGCTCCGACCTGGTGGAATGCTCTGTCCCATGAGACTAGGGCCCTTCAGGATTTAACCTCCTTCCGTCGGGCATGTAAGACACAGCCATTCCACCTGGCTTTTAATCTGAATTCAGCCTGATCTTTTATTCCTCTTCCCTTCTCTTCCCTCCCCCTCCTCTTGACTTTTATGAAGATTACCCTCTCTGAGACCCCACAGCTAATTCTCCCCTGGCCTTTTCGCTGGCCCAAGTAGGACTAATTCAGCCAGCTAGCCCTGGTGATTATCTAATGTTTATTAGATGGATTTCCCCTAAATTGATTTCTGAACTTTGAATGTTATTGTTATTCATGTTTTTATACTGTATTTTATGCTGCTTTTACAATTAAGTGTTTTAAGTTTGTTGTTAGCTGTCCTGAGCCAGGTTTTTGAACCAGGAAGGGAGGGGCATAAATAAATAAATTATTTTTATTATTATGTGTTGAGGCTCCATGCCAGATTTGAGGGGAAGCTGGGCAAGGTTTTCTCTGGGTCCTGCAATGCTTCCCAATTAGCAACCCCACCCCCAGCATGCCACCCCTCACCAGCATCCATGATGGTCCATCCTACAGCAAACCTTTACTGTGTGACCTAGTTCTCCTAGTAAGCCTTTGTGGCAGTTCCTTGCTGAAATCAAACGCTGGGAAAGTGCCCATCCCGAACTAAGTGGGTATCCTAAAATGCCTTCAGGATCCATGTGCAGTTTGCTGAGATTTTTCAGCAGATGATCAGAGGGATATTCTGGCAGACAACTTGACATGGAGAAGGTTCCCTGAATAAAGAAAAAGAACGTTGAAACACCGCCTTGTCGCCAATGATAACTGTATTTTGTTGGCTATGCATAAATAGTACCTCACTATGCCAGATTCTGCAGAATTTCGTTCAAGAGAGGTTAAAAAAACTCCCCAGGAGACATGTTTTTGTATAAATCATTTCAAAATGTGATCTCACTACTAAAATTGAGTCAACCCTCTGTGGAGTTTATAGGGCAGCTGATTGTGTAGATTTGGATATATGAAGTGTCTGGAGCTCTCATAATATTTATCAGGTCGATCAGCTTTGATCATTGTTGAAAAGGTGGACCTGAGCTTCTCAACAAAAATGTGTGTGTGTGTATCCCTATTTATGCCTAGCAGTACAGCACATGTAAATTGGTTTACTTACTAAGTAAGGCTTAAATCCTAAACACATTTACTAGGGAGCGAATGCTATCGAATACTATAATGTCATTCTGAGCAGGAATGTTTAGGATTATGCTGAAAATCACATTGAACCTGGGCTTCTGACTTCTGTCTTTTAGGGTTAGGCATACAACAGCCTTCCGCAATCTGGTTCTGTCTGTACGTTTTGAACTGCAACTTCTTTCTGCCCAATCCACCATCAGGAATGATGAGAGTTTTAATCCAGCATAATCTGGAGGGCACCAGGATGGGGAAGATTGATGTAGGGTTAGGGTGTATCTTGAATTTCTATTAGCAACTTCCACAGATACAGATGAGAGCTTGGTAAATACGAATTACTTTAAAAAGAATATTAAACACTTCAGATGATAGTGTAAATATTGGCGGTATAAATATCAGCATGTGTAATTTTCAATAAAAGAGGCAGGTAATCTGCAATCCTGTAGTGTGTGTGTGTGTGTGTGTGTGTGTGTGTGAATATCTCCTTTTCCTTGCACGGTAAAATGTTTTCTGGTAAGGTGGTCCGTCTGACATGGAGCTAGGAGGGATTCTTGTGTAATAAATGACACACACACCCCTTAACTGTTACAGGTTCTACGTGATCCTGGTGTCAAGATTAAATTCAAGATCCAGGTTTTAATTTACCCTGCTCTTCAGACGATTGATCTGGACTTGCCGTCTTATCGAGACAATGCGAACATGCTAATTCTGCCTAAATCGTTAATGGTGAGATTCTGGAGCGAATACTTTACGACTGACATGTCTCTAAACAGGGCGATGGAGGCCAACCAACATGTTCCTGCAGAGCTAAGCCATTTGTTTAAATTTGCAAACTGGAGTCACTGGCTACCTGAAAAGTATAAGAAGGGTCACGTTTATACCAAGCCAGTCTACGGCAATTCCGAGCTTGGACAAAAATACCCAGGATTTCTGGATCCAAGAGCAGCACCACTGCTGGTCGATGAAAGCAAACTGCGTGGCTTACCCCTCACATATGTCATCACATGCCAGTATGATGTCTTGAGGGATGATGGACTCATGTATGTCTCACGACTTAGGGAGGCAGGAGTTAATGTAATACATCAACATGAGAATACTGTCCATGGGGCTGCGATGTTTAGTACAGGCCCATTAATCTTAACTGTGGGAGAGAAGATGGCAAATGACTACATTGAGTGGTTGAATAAGAACTTATAAACAAAGCCGCATCTATGGAATGCCTTTGGCTCCGATCAATTTGACTTGGGTTTTATACAGGAGGAAATGATCGTTTCTCTGAGTAATTTTGATATTGTACTTTGGTGATGGTTTGGTAATTGTTATAGAATCCTTTCTTTGAACAAGACCGAGATGGTTGTTTGGGGTTTCTTTTGTTGTATCTGTCAAATTATGCTTAATTTAAAATAAAACATTGGAACAAAATGAATGGTGCTTTCCAGGTGTGAAATTGCTGTTTTGGACCTATGTGTTGTTCTGGCTTGCTTTTGTGAGGACTCGTGTGATTCTTCCTGGCTCTGCAAAGTGACCTTTTGGCCAGTGGCTCATAGTACCCTCAAGTATTTGTCTCGAGTTGAGATAAGACTTTGGATGAATAGCAGGTTTATTGCTTGACTTAAAGGTAAGGATTTTGATCAATAGCTTGAAGGGTTTGGACCAAGTTCCATAGCTGAGATCACTTAACAGTTTCATATGAGCCCACTCTATCTTTTCTTTTGGTAGACAATACCTTTCCAGGTTTTTGTCTGCTCAACAGAGTTCATGGGGTTCAGATGTAAACAGCTGGGATGATCTGACTTGCTGTAAAAGCAGCCTTGGGTTAAGAATGTGTGGACCTGTTATTTTCAGTTTATCTCAGTTGCTCATTTCCCTAAACTTCCATTTGCCACATTTCCAATTCAGTTTGCATTTTTAAAAACGGTCCTCAAAAAATGCGCCAGCATTTTGGTGCACTTTTCTCCTAACATACAGTTTCTATGGAATTTTACCTACTTTACACATTTTTGAAAGCCTGTTCCCAAATATAATGCATTGTTGCATGCCATTTTCACAAATATATGCCTATTCCTCTAATAGATACATTTCCACATATATTTTTTGTTGACTAACTGCATCACAACATTCAGAGAAGTGTGCATTTAGAAAACTACATGTGTTTTGGTTCATGTTTTGCAGAATTCAGAATCTTTTTAAAATGCAAATCAAACAAATTTCTCCCCTATCCATGCCTGAACTGTCATGTTTTAAATGACCAGATCTTATCTCATCTAGCAATTCTCTCTCTTTTCTCCTACTGATGGAAACAGAGATGTTTATCTTTTAAAACTATTGAGTACTGCAATGTCAAACAGAGCTGTCAAATTCTTACAGGATCACTATATGTTATTTTCTTGACTTGTTTACTTGGTGTCCCTTACACAATAAACAAAATGTATGTTGACTTAAATTGTTTGCTTCAGTGTATTGTGGGTGTTTATCACTCTGAACATTGAGATAATGGAACTATGCTATACATTCATTTACTGTTGTGCAAATTAATGGTATTGTAGCACTCACTAAGAAAATGATTCTAATATCCTGGAAAAACACTATGTCACTTCACATTGATCAATAGGTGATGTGGGGCTTGGGACACTGGCTTTGTATGAGAGTTCTGTGAAAAAGAAGTGATTCAGTTTTCAAAGTTCTATGATCCCAAGGAAGAGTTAAATTTGTAACAGGAATGGGGATAAGAAGCAAAGTTGGTTAGAAGGTGTCTTGTGATTGGTTATATGTTTGTTCTGTGTTCATCAGTAAGGATGGAAGAAGATCTGTCGAGTTGTGACTTTCTCTCTTTCTAATTTTTCCAATCTTAAATTCTGTTCTCCACTTTTTTTGCAACAGTTTTTGATGATTATTATTTTAATCTTACAAATATTCATCATCATTTGAGTGCAACTTTCTCCTAATAAACACATTTTTGTATGCCACTTTTACAAATCTACACGTTTGCAAGCACATTGTTTGGTTGGGAAACTGCTCTGCAAAATTCAGAAAAGTACAAATTTGGAAGGATGGTTGCATTCTGGTTTGCATGTTGTTTGGGGAAGATGTGAATTTGGTACGTTTGCCTTCCAAAGTGAACTGAATAATAATAATAATAATAATAATAATAATAATAATAATAATAAATGTCACTTTATGTTGCAATGAGTGATGCCCATGGAACCTAGTATTTCCCCCCAGAAGGCTGCTGCTTGAGAAAGTAGCTGTGAAAGCACTCCATGCTTCCTAAAAAAACCCCCCCAAAACACCCTTTGCCCTTTTGACAACATTAGCAATTTAAACAAGATGGTTTTCAAGCAAAAAAGCTGGAGGTGTTTTTTAAATTTTATTTTACATGTGATAGACCAGCAATCAATGCTGCCCTCACAACCCATGTAGCTCAGCTCTCTTCCAGTGACCTCACTGCAAATGACTTAAATTCAGAGGTGACTGGAAAACAAGGGAATAAGGAGAAACTTGGGATTCTGTTCACGGCCAATTACAATTAGCCGTCTCCCAGCAAGCTTATTGCAAATAAAGCCACGCTTCGTTTCAGGCAGCGATGATATTCAGCACCAGCTCTTGCCCATATGTATTAGATGTTAATTTTATTAACTCTTCCCAGCTTTCCTGACCGACTTCTCCTCTGTGTTTTGTCTGACTACCAAGAGCTTTCACATCATCACCAGAGAAAAGCTTTTTTCCATTCGAAACTGCCCCAGAAAGCTCCCCCAAATTTGTGAACCAATAACATTCAACTCTACTTTTAAAATAAATGTCCCAAGAAGATTATGCTTATGGGATTCCTTTAAAAAGCACATATATCCAAAAGGATATATATCAGAACTCATCTCCAGAGAACAATTATAGGTTTCAGGTTTAACAACACATGGGGAAAAGGAAATAGCTGTGTATTACTGGGACGATTTTTAAAATTATATTTTCATAAAGAAATCAGAAACGTAGGTACATCTTTCTGAAAATGGCAATATGATCGGGCAGACTGTGTGTGACAGCAAAATTGGCAATGGCAGTTCATGTTGGAAGTGTTAGTTTTTGGTGGATTTCATTTTAAAAATAGCTCAAAAACTTGATTTGGGGGAGGAGGGCAAAAAAACTAACAGCTTAACAACTTTCACTTTTTGAAATATGGCAACCGTAGGGCTGACACCTTTATTTTCAGACTAGCTAGAATGCCTGTGCATATTCTATGTCAGCTAAGCCATGTGGTCACTACTAACAAACACACACCATTTCCTATACATATTGGAACAGTCTGATTGCTTTATTTGAGGAAAGCAGATCACAGTCTGTTTAAGCCACGAGTCACATGAACCTATTGTGAATCGGTCTTTATTGATGTGATGTGCTGTAATCATTTTGATCAGTCAGATTTGATGCTTATATAAATCCCCCCCCCCCCAAATTGTAAGGTTTCTGATGTGGCAGAATTGGGTGTTGTACTTCTGCCACCTAGTGGACAACAGGTGTGCTCGCAGATGTTGCCAGTGCCCTGTCTGTCGTTACCTTTAAATGTCTTCTGTGCCTTAAGTAGCAGATTGCAGAGGCTGTGATTGGATGGTAAGCAAGGAGGTGGTCCCTCAGGTATGTCTCACTCAAGTGTTTTATAGATTTTAAGGTCAGATTTCATTCATGTTCCTTGAATTGTTCTAGAGCTGGGTTAGGCAGAAGGTAGCTATCTGGGTGATTTGCAATAGGTCTGCAAGGTTTCTGACTCCCAATGGCAACAAGAGAGAATATGTCACCCTTCTAAATTAGACTGTGGAGACAAAGAAAATTTGGGTGGAGAAATCAGGGACAGATTTGTGTGAGAGAGAACTGGGAGCCTCGTTGTGGTATTGAAAACAAATTCTTGTGTTGAACATGTGTACAGAGGTACCCTATTCCTTAATAAAGGTAAAGGTAAAGGTACCCCTGACCATTAGGTCCAGTCATGGCCGACTCTGGGGTTGCAGCGCTCATCTCGCTTTATTGGCCGAGGGAGCAGGCGTACAGCTTCGGGTCATGTGGCCAGCATGACTAAGCCGCTTCTGGCGAACCACAGCAGTGCACGGAAACGCCTATTAATGCTTAATAGCCCCCTATTAATGCCCCCACCAGCCTACCAACCACTAGTTTGCACCTAATAGATCTTGGAGTTTCAGTTAAAAACTGCAATCGTGAGATTGCAGAAGTCCGAAGTCATCACACACCCAATTTGGAGCACCAAGACGTGCCAGGATGCATTCAGGAGTGGGGAATGATGCGTTAGTTTTCCACATTATAATGCTAGCTGTTTCTGTCCCATTTCCTAATGCTCCTTTCAGCTGCAGCACCTATTGAAAGACCTACATTGGCTCCCAGTACGTTTCCGAGCACAATTCAAAGTGTTGGTGTTGACCTTTAAAGCCCTAAACGGCCTCGGTCCAGTATACCTGAAGGAGCGTCTCCACCCCCATTATTCTGCCCAGATGCTGAGGTCCAGTGCTGAGGGCCTTCTGGTGGTTCCCTCGCTGCAAGAAGCAAAGCTACAGGGAACCAGGCAGAGGGCCTTCTCGGTAGTGGCACCCACTCTGTGGAATGCCCTCCCATCAGATGTCAAAGAGATAAACAACTACCTGACATTTAGAAAACATCTGAAGGCAGCCCTGTTCAGGGAAGTTTTTAATGTGTGACATTTTGATGTATTTTTAATTTTTGTTGGAAGCCTCCCAGAGTGGCTGAGGAAACCCAGCCAGATGGGCAGGGTACAAATAATAAATTATTATTATAATATTATTGTTGTTGTTGTTTTTACGGAGCTGTGGCTTTTGACGGATATGCCAGCATATCGTGCTAAATTTCATTTACACTTGTTGGCATGCTGTTATACAACAGTGGAAGTTCTTGGGCACCATCATCACTCCCCCACCTTTTCTGCACATGAATGCTTCTTTCTCCCTATGATTCCCCCATAAAAAACAGCAGGAAAAGAACTACATGCTGATAAACCACCTCAAACTTCATCACTTTGCTCCTGCAATTTTCTGGGTTTTGGGAACTGCAAACAGATCCCCCCCCCCCGCCCCCGGAATCAAATAACATGAAAACAAGTGCAAAACATTTGCTATATTCTATCAGCTTTCCAGAACTGGCTTTTACACTGTGTGAAAACTAAAATATAACGTGGAGTTGGGGAAACATCAAGGAAATTTAATAAACAGCCGCGTGAATGCAGCCTCAGCTTCCACCAAAAGACAAGTTACAGGATTCTGCTATGGTTGCAGTCCTGCACAGAGAAGCTAATATCCCCAAGAGGGTATGGAACTAGTAAAAATATCCTTCCAAGGTGAGGCATTTGCCATGCAGGCTGTGGGTGGTTGCTTATACTACCAATCTAGCACTACTACAGAAACGATGGATATGTCAGTAAATCAAGAGGCTGTACAGAGAAGCTGTGAAGACAAGGATATTTTCAAGCTTCTGGCCAATGAAGGAGCAGCAAGGTCTAGGTTTTCCTTTGAACTAGAGTATAAATAATATCTGTGCTTTGCCCCCTCCCCTCTGCCCAGGAGTGCAAATTTGTATGTTTGTAGTTTGTAGTGGGTGGCGCTGTGGTCTAAACCACTGAGCCTAGGGCTTGCCGATCAGAAGGTCGGCGGTTCGAATCCCCGTGATGGGGTGAGCTCCCGTTGCTCAGTCCCTGCTCCTGCCAACCTAGCAGTTCGAAAGCACATCAAAGTACAAGCAGATAAATAGGTACCGCTCCGGCGGGAAGGTAAACGGTGTTTCTGTGCGCTGCTCTGGTTCACCAGAAGTAGCTTAGTCATGCTGGCCACATGGCCCGGAAGCTGTACACGGCTCCCTCAGCCAGTAAAGCGAGATGAGTGCCACAACCCCAGAGTTGTTTGTGACTGGACCTAACGGTCAGGGGTCCCTTTACCTTTACCTTTAGTTAGATAAGCCTCCCTAGCACAGCAGCAGTTTTCTGTACAATATAGTAGGTCCATAAATAAGCAGAGAAATAAATACATCACACCCTAGGGTCTGTTATAGAACTTGAGGAAAGAGAGCCAACAACTGGGGCACCATGTGTTTCATGAATGCCAGAGACTGCAGTAGGTTAATGTTTACTCTTTTGTTGTCTGAATGGAGAATGAGGTGAGGTGATGTTGCCTCAGGTAGCAGATCCAGCCTCCTCTGTCACTGCTCACCAAACACCTTGCCCCCTCTCCTTCATGCCAGCCCACCACTGCACTCGTGGGTACAGAGGAGGGAGAGGTGGGCATGGGGGGGAGGAAGGTTGGCATGGCCTTTTCTGTTTTGCCTGAAGTGGCTAAATGTCCTGAGCAGTCCCTGAGATGGGTATATGATCTGAGGACTTGCAACATTTCTCAGTTATCCACCCATCCAGGCAGACCTTAGCCTCACGCACCTCCAGAACATAGCCTGGGAATTCTCTAAAGAGCTCTGAGAATTCTGGAGGTTTTTTGGAAATCAAATACTCCAGTTGGTACAGGATTTACACAGAAGCAAGGAAGTGAATAGCCTTTCCCAGTGAATACATGTGATGCGTGAGGGAATAACAGAGGGGGAGTCTGGGGATGATCGTGACGTAAGCGCAAGTGGTGCATCATATGCTGTGAGCAGTTGTAAACATGGTGCCAAATATGACGAGCTTGGCTGCTTATAAAATGACTCAGCAAAAACAGGAGTAATGATGCTTTCTGACAGCCCACAGGCTCAGACTTGAAATCCTGGATGTAACCTTTAAGTGGCAGCGTGATTCATTTTGGTTTTTTCCTGACCAGAAGTACATATTTTTGTTTTGGTGGGAAAAAAATCTCACCGGTTATCCCCATTTCCGTTTTTTTCTGTGAATAAGTGCCAAATTGGTGACTTGTCCTCTCCCCCACCAACCCAAAACTGCAGCAATACAACTTCCCGCTATAATTGTTTACTATTCGCTGCATGTATTCTCTCTCCTAAATCACATTCATTTGGCTTAATGCTTCATTTAGTATAATTGCTTCTTTACTGCTTATTTAGATGATAAAGAACAAATGTCTGTACATGACAGTACAAGGACAGTGCTACGTCGATAACAAAGTAACGCTCTCCTCTTTTCCTATCTTCCAGGCTCCTTCTAAACTCAGCTTGATTAATCTTAAGGATCAAGGGGTCTGTTTTCAAAATCTGTCATAATCCCTTAAAAAAGGGAAGAAGATGTTCTGGTGCCATAGTTTCCTTTTATCTCCTTGGGGACAAGCATCTGATCTCAAGTAGAGATGTAGATAGTCCTTTGATTCAGCTACATAATTAAGACATCCAATCACTCTCAGTATTTTCAAGGGGAGGGCAGAAGTTTTCCAACAGCTCAAGAGGAGCTCAAAAAAGAAACAGAAAATAAAAAATTGTCAGCAAACAGCACATGGATATCGAACAGAGCCAAGAGGAGTTTGTCAGTCACTAACCATCAATGGACTAGAGCAGGGTTTCCCAAATCTGGGTCTCCAGCTGCTTTTGGACTACAACTCCCATCATCCCTAGCTAGCAGGACCACTGGTCAGGGATGATGGGAATTGTAGTCCCAAAACAGCTGGAGACACAAGTTTGGGAAGCCCTGGGCTAGAGCATGGGTGAGGAAAATTTTCCAGCATGAGAACCTCAATCCATGCTGGGCAGCTTTCCAGGATCACATGCAAGTGGTGGTCGGGACCAGAGCAAAAGTGGGTGGAGCAACAGATGTAATTTTTACATCTTTGTACATTAGAATAATTTCTACACCCCCACACTCATACCACTCTGTATTCTCCATCCAGACAAGCAAGAGTAGCTGTTACAATTCGAGACACATCATGTTGTTGTTTAGTCATTTAGTCGTGTCCGATTCTTCATGACCCCATGGACCAGAGCACACCAGGCACTCCTGTCTTCCACTGCCTCCTGCAGTTTGGTCAAACTCATGCTGGTAGCTTCGAGAACACTGTCCAGCCATCTCGTCCTCTGTCGTCCCCTTCTCCTTGTGCCCTCCATCTTTCCCAACATCAGGGTCTTTTCCAGGGAGTCTTCTCTTCTCATGAGGTGGCCAAAGTATTGGAGTCTCAGCTTCAGGATCTGTCCTTCCAGTGAGCACTCAGGGCTGATTTCCTTCAGAATGGATAGGCTTGATCTTCTTGCAGTCCATGGGACTCTCACATCATAGCCAGCTCAAAACACTCAGGGAGTGTGTGACACAAGACTGGTGAAGAGGCCTGGCCTGTGGAGGGGTGGTGTAGCTGGGGAAGGGGTGTCCTAAGAGTCAGAGAGGCCTGAGGCTTCCCACCCCTGGACCAGAGGGGTTTCCTATGTCGGAGGAGTTTGGGGCAGCATCCCAACTCCCTTGCCCCATCACTGCAAGGTTTTCTGCTTTCACAGTGGGACGTTTTGGTTGGTTGGTTGGGAATCAAGCCTTTATCAGGAGAAACTGGCCACTCTCCAGGCACTCGGCTTGATCTCCTGTTGACCTCCCTGTCTGCATTCCCCAGCAGGATCCAGGCAGAGGTCGCGATAGGCGATCCTTCTCAGAGTGAGAAGAACACACCCCTCTTTCCTGCCCCCAGGCAGGGAAAGAGATAGACAGAAACGTATTTACATTCCTTTATTTCTGTCTTTGCAGCGTTACAAAAATCATGACTGCTCTCTTCAAGCTCCAGCAGTCGAGAGACAAACTCCTCCTGTACTTCCTGTACAGCTCATATTACACTCTGAGCTAATTCCGGTGCCCTCTGCACTGTGAATTGACTGTCCCTCTGTTTCCCACGGAACAGTCCCAACATTCCCATTATGTTTTGCTTTCAAGCTACCAGCTCGCGGCCGCATTGCTTCTATATCGTAACATGCCCCACATCCTCACCAAATCTGCTTCAGAGGGTTGGGGGAAAGCCCAGAATAGATTTAGGGGGCACACAGATTTGCACGTGTGCACACACACACACACACACACACAATTTGCACTCTACAGTGCATGCCCTCATGGAATGAGAGAGGAAAATAACAACAGGTACGCGTTCTTTCATTTTTTCAAGGGCCTCTCTCTACAGAGCTAGACAATCTAGATGAAAGATTTTGCTTCGGAGAGAGCCCTGGTCTGCATCTATCAAGAATTCCATTGAAGGAAGTTCCATTGTACCCTCCTTGTGTATTTCACAGGAAGAGATGCCTTTCTGAGCACACCTGCCTTCGTGGAGCGTTCAGAGGCATTGCCATGGGGCTTGCAAGCTAAGAGCAAATCCTATGATAAAAGCAGGGGTTGTTTTTTGCACTGACATCAATGCACTAAGAATACAAAGCATGAAAGTGCTGCTTAGATAAGGCGGCTTGTTGGCTGGCAGCTTCACATACGGTTCTCAAAAACATATTTATAGTAGGGTCAGATTCTTTGGAAAATAAAGTACTGTATTTTATTTGAAATGCTTGGCCTTTTATACTCAGAGATTAATTGTATGCTCCGTTGAAGAAAGCAGTATTTACATGCGAATATATTTTTGTTGCTTAAATCACGGTGAAGTCAAGGGAATTTAAAGCAGCTTAAAGGTGTGTAGGATTGCAGTGGCTGTAAACTGATGTTGTCCAGCTTGTTTGACGTGCAGCACAATCCTATGTATATTTACTCTGAATTAATAATAATAATTTTATTATTTATACTGCCCCAGTCCAGCTGGCTGGGTTACCCCAGCCACTCTGGGTGGCTTACAGCATATCTAAAAAAATGATAAAAACATCAAGCATTGAAAACCTCCCAATATAGGGCTGCCTTCAGATGTCTTCTAAAAGTTGTGTAGTTCTTTATCTCATTGACATCTGATGGGAGGGTGTTCCACAGGACAGGTGCCACTACCGAGAAGGCCCTCTGCCTGGTTCCCTGAAGCTTCACTTCTTGCAGTGAGGGAACCAGCAGGAGAACCTTGGAGGGGACCTCAGTGTCCGGGCTGAATGATGAGGGTGAAGATGGTCCTTCAGGTAAACAGTCATACCTCGGGTTGAATATGCTTCATGTTGAACGTGTCCGAGTTGCGCTCCACGGCAACCCGGAAGTAACGGAGGGCGTTACTTCCGGGTTTCGCCGCTCGCACATGCGCAGACGCTCAAAATGACGTCACGCACATGCGCAGAAGCGGCAAAAAGCGATGCACACGTGCGCAGATGTGCCATCACCAGTTATGTTTGCTTCTGGATGCGAACGGGGCTCCGGAACAGATCCCGTTCGCATCCCGAGGTACCACTGTACTGGGCCGAGGCCGTTTAGGGCTTTAAAGTTCAGCACCAACACTTGGAATTGTGCTTGGAAATGTCCTGGAGTTCAGTGAAGATCCTTTAGGACCGGTGTTATATAGTTCTATATTCTACCGGATGTACTTCCATATGACCTTGTTCCAAGCAGAACAGGGATAGAAGAATGTGCCCATTTTAGTTTCTCTTTCCCAGTCTTAAATTCCAATCTTCACATTTCCTCATCAATTTAGAAGCTGGATGAAGATTCACCAGGATTTGAGTGTGCTTTTTTCCTAGCACAGTAAGCCCGCCACTTATGCACATTTACTGGTAACTTGTGTGTATTCAGCTTTATGAGCATGGCAAAAAAAATGTTGTTGTTTTTTAAAGGGGTGGAAAGTGGGTGCGATTAGGGGAGAAAAATGGCTTTGGCAATCCCACCCACCATTGAACCAAATGGATTTTGACCATACATGGTTTTGGCTTTAGGTTTGAACCTCGGAACTTAACCCCTGTCTACGTTGTTGGCTTCCTGTATAAACATTTTTGTATGCAATTTCTCCTAATACAATGCATTCTTGTCCAAACAATAAAAGATTATTCTTGTATGCTATTTTACCCTGTTCCCACATATTTATGCACACTTTCCCCTAATACATACATTTTTTCCCAAAGGATATTTGCATTTCAGTTCAGCTAGGGTTTTTGAAAAGTCAGTGACGATTTTCTCCCTCTCCGTCTCCCTAGACATGACTGCAGCCTAATGCCTGATTCTCAGTTCCATTTATTTTATTTAGATCACTATAAATTGAATTTCTGCTCACCACCCATTTGTCCGTATGGTGATCCACCCATATGCTTACCAGGTCAGATATGAGATCCACCAAACCCTGGGTCCCTGTTTGCTGGTTTCCCACAGGCACCTGGAGGACCACTGTGAGAACAGGATGCTGGGCCATTGGCCTGATCCGGCAGGCTCTTCTTATACCAATAACCACTTTCCTGTTCAGGGTTCCACACAGCCTGATTTCACATTTTAGGGGTCTGAAGCTACTAATAACCACCATAGTGGTTAGCATGTCAGGCTAGAAATGGGAAGAGGTAGATTCACATCTCCACTTAGCTGGTAAGAAACCTGGGTGACTTAGGTTAAGCTGAGAACTAGTGACTACTTTGTAGTATTGTTGGGGTGGCAAATGGTGAAAAGTCTGTTGCTTTGAGCAACGTAAAGAAAAAAGCTGTGCACTTGCCTCCTACACACACCAATCAGACACAAGCCATAACGTCCTGGCTAGTGAATGCTACAGGAGGGCTGAGACACTTTTAATATGTATAATTTTTATTAATTTTTTCTGTTTTGCAATTTAAAACACTTATTTTACATCCTTAAGATATCAAGGACTTCCCTTCTTCTCTTTCCATGGTTCATTTTGCATATCATAAATCCCTGCATATTTTACAAAAACTATACCATTCAGTATTCCATTATTGCAGCCATCAAAACTTACTTACACCGTTGAATTTATCTTAATGCTGCCAGAGTTTTCAGCTGTACAAAATTATATCCCATATATTCAATAGATGTTTCCCAATCTTCTTTAAATGTATGTTCTTCTTCTTCTCTTATTCTATATGTTAAGTCTGCAGGTTGTGGGCTGAGACACTTTTTAAATGCAATGCAGGTCATATAAAGCCCTGCATTTGTCAATGTTATGTGTCCATCCAACGCCAAGGTAAACCAGCTTTGAGTTCTGCAGGACATGGTAAATTTTGAATCTCACCACATGGGGGTGCTTTTGGAGCAAATTTTTATGATGTTAAAATTGCAGGTAACCATCACCTTGGGCTGTCTTCACCTTGTCGACAATTATCATGAAGACCCATGCTAAATCTGAAAGACTGTTGCTTGCCTCATTTTTCTAATTCCTTGATTTTGCTGGTGCCTCACGGCTGCTGACGGAGCAAGTTTGCAATATGTTATCTTGAGAGTTTTGCCATGGATGCAGAGCTTATGATCCACAGTCTTATGATACATTGCCCATCTATCTTCGGGACGGATGCAGCCTGTTCTACCAATCCATCTTTCTAGCACGGTGACCCTTTATGTCAATCTACAAGTACATTCCAGTCTCGCCAGAGATTGGTTTCAACTTCCTGCGGTGATTTCTACAGCATATATTGGTATCCTTCAAAATCTCGCCTTCTTTCCTCTATGCATTCTGAAAATGTCAACGAACAGCTGTCAACTGAGGGAGATTCCAACGATTACTTCCTAGAGCTAAGCCCAAGATACTCATGTGCTGTCAAAGAAAATTCACCATTGACAAAAAAAGGTTTTATTTTCAGAT